TCTCTTCTATTTCCTCTGAAAGCCTTATCTTATTGACCGAATGAATAGAGAAAGAAAGGAGGGATGCAAAGAAAGCAAATGAAGATGCTTCTTAGCCAGCTCGCTCTAGTCCCGTACGATAAGGATGAGAAAGGTCAAGGAGAGCATCGAATAGCGCATACTTGGACCTGTACATTACGATTCCGGAGAAGAACCAGTGAACACCGCCTACTCGATATGACTTGGTAGACTTAAAGGTATCCCTTATGCCGATGCAACGAGTGAACTATAAAGAGAGTCAGAGACAAACCCTTGTATTGTAAATAGGCTGCTGTTGTTTCTCCGATACCCGCAGTCTTTGAATAAGTAGTTGCTGTTGGGATTCTCCCAGAAGAAATAAGTAGACCAAGAGCGGGAAATCCTTCTGTGAAGGTAGCTGTAGCATTATCAGTTTCAGGAAAGGAAGTTGAACTGGTACCTGTGGATAAGGCGGTTGAAGCGGAAGCTTAACCGAAAGCATATTCTCTGTTCTCTTTCTTTATTCTCAGTCTCAGTTAGCTGATTCTGTTTCAGTCCTGATAGAATCCCTAGTTTCTTCTACTATTCTCCTTATAGAATGAAAAGTAGGAACTAAGATAGGTATCCGGAAGGAATAAGGGAATCAAGTTAAGCCTGTACCTTTTCTATTTTATATTCTAGTTTGTTTTCCTTATATATAGTATAGATAGAGGAGTAGTAGTAGCATCCCTCTGTTAAGTTCTGTTGAAAGGCAGTATGAGAACAAGGTTGGGATATATGGAGCAAGGTAAGGTAGTATACTTGCTTACTTGGATACAAGTATGGCTTGAATCCCTTCTCTTTTAGACTAGCCTTAGGACTGACGAAAGTCATTTAACTTAACTGCAGATAGACAGAAGTTATGACAACCCTCACACGAGAGCCAAAAGAGGTCTTTCATTAAGATAATTAGCCCATATTTAAGATAGACTCTCTTACCAGACTCGAAAGAAAGGTAAGAAAAGAAGAAGGCAATGTATCCAGCTCTTATATACGTAAACGGTTGGTTACGGCGGAGGCCTATATTCGAGGTTCGTAGGTGAGTTCGGGATGAAGTGGTGGCGGATGCTCCTGAATATAAAGATGTCTTAACACCCAAGGAAAAAGAAATTCTCTCGGTGTTTGGTCATCATACAATTGAGGCTTTACTGATTCACATTATGAGCCGCGTTTTTTGGAGTGAGAATAGCATTTCAGTAGCTACTTTAGTCGAGCGTATTGAATACGCCGTTCGAAGTCATGCTGAAATGATATTTGCTTCTCAAGGAGATAAAAAGAAATTAGCCAAAACTGCGGGTAAAGGGTTACGATACCCTTTCGGTACAGCCTTAGTTGAATCTTTAGTGGAAAGGAAAATGATAAAAATTGTAAACAAAGAGGGCGATTCATCTAAAACAGCCAAAAAGAAGAATAAATCTTTTTATTTGGTAAAATCGCTTCACGCCGAATGCTTATTCAATCCTGCCATTCTTCCTGTACAGATGAACCTTCCTATGGTTCATCCCCCTATGGATTGGAGCTATGACCCCTGTGATAAGACTTGGCTGAACATAAGCGATCTATATGGTGGTTACTTTCTAGCTTTTTCCAATGAAGTATATGAGCGGTGTCGATTACTAAGTTCTTGGAACGTCAATCAATTCTATATTTACTTCGGTAAGAAAATGGATAAGAAGACTTTTGAAAAAGCCGATAAAGTGTGTTCAGTAATGAACAAACTTCAGCGTCAGGCTTTTAAGATCAACAGAGCTTTTCTCCATAATCTTACTATGGCGGAACCGCTGTATGCTATTAAAGGTATTATCAAGCCTCGTTTTGTTAACTATATAGATATGAATGATGCGCGGTTGAATAACTTGCTTAGAGAATTTTATGTTAATAACAAGGACGTACAGGAAATATGTACTTATAAGAAATTATTAGAGGTTTTATCAAAAAATATCCAGCGCGCTCGTTATGAGCAAAGAATATTATAAATGGCCGAAGCCTACCAGGGCTATAAATTTTATTTACCAGTGTTTCTTGACTTCCGAGGAAGAGCCTACCGCTGTGGTAGCTTGAATTTTAATGAATGCGATCTTGTTCGAAGCCTGATATTATTTGATAGCGGCGATGAGATGGGTGATTTGCTTAATACCTATACTGTTACACTCCATTACATATCTGCGGCCTTTCATTATAACTCATCATTCAATACATATGCTAAAGCATATAACTGGATGTTAGAAAATATTGAGATATTAGGAAAGGATATGCCTGTTCAGCCTGATGGTGGGATAGATGAAGTTGAATTAATCACTCGTTTAACCGAACGGGGTATAGAAGCTAAAAATCCTATTCAGTTCATATCAAAAGTACATAATCTTTTTCACTATAAATATGAAGAAAATAATAGAGAGGCTGCAAATACTTTATATAATTTTCCTATTACCCAGGATGCTTCCGCAAGTACATATCAACTTATGAGTTATTTCATGTTGGACGACATAATGGCTATGAGAACCAACCTCATTAATGAGGGCGGTGGTGGGATACAAGATATCTATTCATGCTTATTGGAGGAGTTGAAGTCCTTCCTTAAGGAAGAACTAGATGAATCTGTTTATACAACGATAACGGAAATCTTTACTCGTAAGTTTGTTAAGGGTATCTTTATGCCTCTAATTTATGGGAAAACCATAATGAGCACCCACGAAGATATCCGAGCCGAGCTCTCTCAGTACCTGACACATAAGGAGTGCTTCCACATAACCCGCCTCTGTTTTAAGTTCTGGACTACTAAATATGCACATATGGACTGCCTGATCCGCTTAATCCGGATTATAGGGTAGTTTGCCTCATGCTGTGATAGACCCGTTCTGTATCAGACTTATTATTTTACTACATCTCAGTTCCTTCTATCAACATTGTTTTAGCACAAATCATAAGATAAGAATCAGCCCAACTCTCCTATACTGCAAAACCTTGTGTTTTTGCTTGTTTCACTCGTTAGCTGGCTTTAGCAGCAGGAGATAGTTTAGTTAATTAGTCTTTAACAAAAGGAACAATAGCTGCATTAAGGTATACTAGTTCAATACTAGCTTCTTCCTAATCGAGAGAGCACTTCCTCCAATAACAACTAAGAAACGGGTTTAGGAAAGATAGCAAAAACATGATTTCGAATTCTCGTCAGAGATAGCAGAAACTCATCGAGCTAAAACCCCTAAACGATTTACCAGATCATTAGAGAAGTATATCAATTTTTTCTAAGACCCTTATCAAAGGCATATCTTCATGGGAATTGGTTAACCCTGGGAAGAGTGTAGGTTCAACCCCTACTATGCTTGATGTCAACCCATTTGCACAAATCAATGTCGTTCGTTCTCAATAATCCGTCATCTCTTAAACAGTTTCTACCTACTTTTATGCTTCTTCCACATGGGAAACTAAGAAAAGAGCAGGATAAGGCTGTGCTAATTTCTTTCTGGTTTCCATTTGTTAATGGTCTCCTACGGGAAGGAATCCATGATTCGAGCTTGACTGAGGAGGAATTCTCATACCTTCAACATTTATTAACTCCGGATGAACAACTACTGTTAGATCAGTTTGGTCCTCATACACTTGAAGCTTTATTAATTCACATTATGAGTACTATGTTCTGGTCAGATAATTCAGTTAGACTGGCAACTCTAGTGGAACGAATAGAAGAGCATGTTCAACATAATGCAGCCAGATTAGCTAGTCTTCATGGGGATAACAACGTTGTTAAAAGATTAAAACAAAGACCCAAGACTAAGGTTTTACGACTACCATTCGGTAAGGCTTTAGCTGCGCTGTCTTATAAAACATATCTTGGATTTTAGCAACAAATGCTTTAGCAGCATAAGCAACAGTAACTGCAGGAGCAAAAGGAACAATAGCTGGTTTAGCAGCAGGAGCTACAGATAAGGAATGCTCCTCCCTCTGGCCCATCCGGTCTAAATAAAGAGGGTTTAAACCAAAGGTAAGGAGATCTAGAATACCGGAATGCCTTAGATCTGGTTTAGGGCATATTTCTCCTAGAACAATTCGAAGTAAGCTATCTTCTAGAGAGCGTTTAAACCGTAGTTTAGGTCCTATAGCGTATGAGAATACCTCATACTGTTCGAAGGCTCCTTTGGCTCCTTAACAATTCGAGGTTATATCCTAGCTACCAGAAGAAGGAAGCTAACTTCATATTCTAACATTTAGTAGCTCTTTCCTTTAGTCGACACATAAAGTAGGATCAAACAAAGCGGCAGCAAAAGCAGCATAAGAAGAGGAGGAGGTACTCAAGTATACTTCTCCAATCCTTGCTTACTCGTTATCGTTCGAAGAAAGTTAAAGAACCTTAAACGGAAGTATGGGAGAAGCTAGTTTTGAATAACAAATCCCATTAAGGAAGAAGCGAGAAACCCTATTCTTGGATAAGCGGGGTTAACATTCATTATCTACGCTAATTAGGTTCGGATAAGTAGTTATCTATGCTCACCCTTATGCTTGTACCCTCATATCAAAGCAAACGGTTGGTGGTTTTGTTAGGGTCGGGGTCCGGAGAAGAAAAAGGAACAATCGGTTTAGCAAAACCCGTAAGGGGTAGCAGAAACTCATCGAGCTAAAACTCACCAAAAGGTTTATTCGCTCAGTTCCTACTATCTATAATCTTGGATTTAGCACAGGGGAGAAGAAGAATTTTCGATATACTTCTTCCCCTAGTACTAGTAGTAGCGCCCCCGGGGATCCGGAAAGGGAGAAGGAGCGCGCTCGTCTTTGACTTTTATATGAGGCCCCATATAAAAAAAGATCTAATACAAGAAAAACGTTCGGGCGGAAGCCGAACTCCTCTTGAAGAATCAGCTCAACTTAAAAACAGTTTCGGGACTTGTCCAACAGCGAGTCCCGAAGGTGGGGACTGATTATGAGATCATCAGTGATATGAAAATAGAACTGGGTCCGGATCATCCCCT